AATTCAAATAATTGATCGAGAGAAAGAGAGGTCACTTAAACATGATTTGATGTAACCGAATCCAAATTTGATGTAACCGAATCCAAAGGCAAGTGCAGAAAAACCTTTCCTTCTAATCAAATGCCCGCATAAAATTTAATCCAGGATAGGACAAAGCGTAGAAGTTGCTGGAATGTGCCCACTGACTCGACTTCGACTGACTTTGATTTTTCGAAGTAATGTGATAATAGAAATCTAGCTTTCATTATTATCATAAAAAATGGATATAATTGAATTATGAAAGGATGACAAATCATCACTGCAAATAGATGAAACAGCATACAGAGATGGTTAGGGTGACTTAAGGTCACACAATATAATTAAAATATTTTATTTTATTTTATTCAATATTTAAAAATAAATAATAATATAAAACCCTTTCTTTTGATCAAACGCCTTCAGAAAATTTAATTCAAAATGGGACAAAGCGTACAAGTTGAGGGAGAGCGCTCACTGACTTAACTTCAGTTGACTTTGATTTTTGAAAATAAAGTGATAAGAAAAATCCAGCCTTCATTATTATTAGAAAAAAGGAAAATAATTGAATTATAAGAGGATGACAAATCATCACTGCAAATGGATGAAACAGCACACAGGAATTGTTAGGGTGACTTAAGGTCACACAATATAATTAAAATAAATATTTATTTTATTATTAAAAATAAATAATAGTAAAAAATCTTTCCCTTTGATCAATCTCCTCCACAAAATTTAATTCAAAATAAAATAACGCGTACAAGTTGATGGAGAGTGATTACTGACTTGACTTCAGTTGACTTTGATTTTTAAAAGTAAGGTTATAAGAAAGATCAAGCTTTCATCTTTATCATAAAAAAAGAACATATTTGAATTGCATCTGGCCTTGAAATCTAATGACAATAGTCATCTCGGTGTATTTTTTTTTTTTTCGAGTTGAGTTTGAAACCCGTTTTTTGCAAATATGTTCAAAAAAAAAAAAAACATATTTGAATTATGAGGGGATGACAAATCATCACTGTAGATAAATGAGACAGGATAGAGGGGTGGTTAGGGTTGACTTAAGGTCACATAATATAA